TTGAAAGTCAGCAAACCAAAAGGGTCTCTGAAAGGTTATATTTGAAGGCTTCATATATATCTATACATATAGCCTTACAGATTTGGGGGTCAGCTAAAATCTTGTGCTTCCGTCTGCAGCTTCATAGAGTAATCATCGAATGAGCTTGTACATTTTTTTTTTTATTTTTTGATGAAGGAATTAAGTTTGCTGATACTTGTAGAAAATTCTCAGTGATATCAACTGCGCTTTGTGGTTGAAATCTCATAAAGATCTGTGGTGATCCTGGTGATTCTTCTTACGTAACTTCTGTGAGAAGTTTATGCCACTTTTGATACAATCATTTAAATACTTTACTTTGCAGAAAATTAAATAAATCCTGCCATGCGTTTTATTAGAGTTTGTGAGAAAATTGGATGTTAGCATAGATGTGAGAATAATCTAGGACTGCCAAGTTGAAAAGGGAGTAAATTAGTAATATAAGGCCAATGCAGATTATATAGACTGGGAACATTTTTGCTGGTCCAGAGGCCTTATAAACTGTATAATAAAGGTTATACGACACTGTGTGGTTAACTAACTCTGTCTAGTTTGATGTACTCAAATTCTTTTGCTCTGTGTTTTCAACATCCATTCATATATTCCAGTGTACCAAGTACAAGTACCCTGGCCTCTGGTCTGACTCCAATACTATGGTGAGGAGACAAACCATAAAATAATATAATAGTAGATGTTACACAGAGCTTGCTTCAGACCTAAGGGCAACCTCACTGTTCCGGGGATTGGCTGGAGCTTAGAAGACTTCACAGAGGTTATGTGTTACACAGGCGAGTTTTCCAGAGTAAAGAAGGCTGACTGTAGAAGTCTAAATTAAACAGAACATTCATTATGTAGAAGCATATTTTGAAATATCTCTGTGATTTGGGGTAGATGGAGGATGGTAAGGACCTGAACTTCAAGGGCCATGGTTTGAGATGTTAGAGCGTGGACACCAAATCACTAGTCAGTGACCACTTGAGGACAGAGAAAGCATCTTGGTATCTTTATATACCCATAGCCAAACACAGTGATTGGCATATAGAACTCCCAGCCCTGCCTCTAAATATTTCACCTTGAATTTCTCATTTGTAAAACTAGAAGATTTGGATCTTTAATTTTAAAGCCCTTTCTAGCTGTTCTTAAAAATATAATTAGATAATCTAGGAAAATGGGGTTTGTTGCCAGCAAAAATAAGGACAGTAGTACTCTAGAGATCTCTGTATGTTCATTGAGGAACATGGCCAATAATGTTCTTAACAGTCTTGTTTATAATATTAAAGAGCCGGAAACACAAAGTGTTTGTTAACAAGTGAATAGTTAAATAAATTGTGGTATATTCATCTAGTGGGCTACTATATAGCTAATGGGAATATATTACTTACAGCCCCATGCATTAACATGTATGTTAATATGTATGTAATTACAGTTGACCCTTGAACAACACAAGTATGAATTATATAGGTCCATTATGTGCAGATTTTTTCAACCAAATGTGGATCAAAAATAAAGTATCTGGGGGATGTGAAACCCAAATGTAAGGAAGATTGACCTTTCACATACACACATTCCTCAGGGCCAACTGTGGGCCTTTAGTATGCATAGATTTTGGTATATGTGGGGGTCCTGGAACCAATCACCCTAGTATACCGAGGGATGACTATATATATAACGTATGTTATATAATGTATGTAGTCATGTACAGCATAACAGTATGTCAGTTAACTATAGACTACATATACAATGGTGGTCCCGTAAGATTATAATACTGTATTTTTACTGTACCTTTTCTTTGTTTAGATACACAAATACTTAGTATTGCTACAGTTGCTTACAGCATTCAGTATAGGCTATACCATCTAGGATTGTGTAAGTACATTCTATGTTGTTTGCAGGACAGAATTGCCTAATGACTCATTTCTCAAAATGTATCCCTGTCTTTAACTGATGCATGACTGTATATGGTGGGGAGGCATGGGAATGGGATGAGGAAGGGGCAAATACATAGGGAATTTCAGAGGTGTTGGTAATTTTGAAATCAGTTTAAGCCAAGTTAAACTGAAGTAACAAACAGCCCTAAAATATCAGTTGTTTAAAATAATAAAGATTTGTTTTTCCCTGTAGTTTCATGTCTACCATGGGTGAACATGGGTTGACTCTGTTCCACACTCATTCCACACCATCTTTTGGTGCTGTTACGTAGAAGTTCACCATGACTGGAAGAAAAGAATATTGAAAATTATACATTGGCAGTTAAATGCTTAATTTAACAGTGACACCACTAAATGACATGTGTCAATCCTATATATATTTCATTTACCAAAAGCAAGTCATATGACTTGATACACAGGAAATACAATTCTCTTA